CACACACACACACACACACACACACACACACAAATGATAGCAACATACCCAGCCAAGCATACACATTTGCACACACACACAGCATTTTATGGCCAGAAGGGTTATAACTCCCTGTCCAATAAAGACTACTACAGCTGACAGTTCCTATCTCAAATAACTAGGTCATAACTTATGGCTAAATGTGAGTTTGTTTATAGGCAGCTATATGTGTATGCTTACAGATTTTACTGAATGTCATTGTATTTATTATCACACAACAGACATATAGGTGATCATGTGGGATGTTAAAAGGACTAAAATACTTTTATGGGATTTTATTCAGCATTGAAGGCAAGTGATTCTCAATTAAGCCCTTTATTTCCTGAAACAGACAGAGGTCTTCAACCCTGTTACTTGTGATCCACTGTTTGTCATGCTTTAGATGTTTTCCTGCTTCAGCACACTTAATTTTAATAATTCAATTGCCAACTCAGAATGTCATCAAGTTTAGCTGAAGTCCGTCAATCACGTCTTTATTTCGGTCAGGTGTGTTGAAGCAGGGAAACATGCAGGACAGCAGAGATCTTGACGCGTTTGTTTCATGGAGCCGTTCAAAGGAGACGTTTGACTTTGAACAAATTCTGTCATCACGTAGTATACGTCATCGCGTCACATGGGTGGAACCATGTGCTTTGTTAAGCATATCCCCCTCCCCGTTTCCTCCTGAACTGTCATACTTTTCCCCTCTGCTTGTTTTCCACGAAAAAGTGAAGGAGGAGTAATTGACTGAAAAATAGCCATATTTGTGTTTTCTATGGATTGATTAATGTGGCAGCTATCTTGATATGAATTAGTTTCAAATGTTAATGAGTTGTTGAAGACCCTACAGTGCCCCCCTCCCACAAAAAAATAAAGGTTAATTAGTGTGCTCAGTGGTTTATGAGATATTTTGCTAACACACACAGCGTTGAACACAGAAATCATGCAATCAATTAGCACTCAAAGTCCAAGTTTGGGAAAAGTCTCAGCTATTCCCGTACAAAAATTTAGCTTAATGCTTTCAAAGCTATTTTTGTGTTTCCTAAATTCGATTAGGTGTGGTAGCCATTTTGGCAGAAGCTAACTCTAAAAGTAGGTCCTCTGGATGGGTTCGTCTTTAGTGAAACGTTTCGTCTCTCCTCCAAGAGACTTCTTCAGTCTGATGAGTTTCAGGTGAACTCAGCCTTATAAGCACTGCTTCCACATGGACAAACAGGTTAGTCACATGCAAAAGCGGACCATAGCCTAACAATAGGCTTGATTAGCTCCATTGTTCATAGAGGGTCATGTGACCTTTCTCCTCATGTGACTTAATGGTTTGTATGCTTTGGCTGTGGTTCTGTTATGTGTACGTAGTGAGTGCAAGTGGGGCTCGACGTCCCCTTGTTTCTCTTTCTCTCTCTCTCTCTCTCTCTCTCTCTCTCTCTCTAACTCTAAAACTTAATCAGCTGTAGATGTCGACCAAATAATTACCTTCTGAAAGGTTCATTAAAATCTGTTCAGTGATACATGAAACACTTTTGCTAAAAGTACTGACGAACAAAAACTGTAATGCTCCGCCTCTGCCGACAGGTGATAATGAACAGATCCAGGAACATGCTGACAAATGGCTGTTAAAGAGGGGAAGTTTCAGGTGAAGTTGCATTCCAGTGAAGGCAGAGGGTGTTCTCTTTCATTCACATTACCACTCAGACAATATATAGAATGACATGAGAAGACAAGAATAGACAGGCACTGCAATCTCCCTCCTAAACCCATCCAGTCTTGTTAGGTCAGTATTTGCCGCAAGCGCTGAAACAAGCGTGGAAGGATGCATATTTAATGTGTTTGAAGCGCTTCGGAGTTCCAGCATGTCTAATTAATCTCAGAGCTGTTATTAGGCAAATATCAAGCCAAGGTTTGAATTTTGTGTTGTTTGCACCTATTAGCACCGTCGAACGACTAGTGTTTATGACCTCGCTGACTTTCTGTTTTAATATGATGTTTTTTTCTCTTCAAAATCTGTATTAAATACAATAAACCACTCCCAAGTTTCTGCTTTTCATCAGTGCTGCAAATAAAAGTTTTTTTTCCTATTTTCTCCCTTCCAGGTTTGAAAGCAGGGGATGAGATTCTGTTCCTCAATGGGAAACCTGCGTCTGACCTGGAGATGGATGATATGAAGGCTGCGTTTGCAGGTCATACGCTCACTTTGAGTGTCAGCACTGTGCCTGAGCTGGACCCTAAAGTTCTCTGCTCATGTCCGCCTCGGCGCTCTGATGGGGAACAGGACACAGCCACGGATATCTTTTCCCAGAGCCAAGGTAAGACGAGCTTTGGTTTGTGTTTAATATTGAATCAACAGGACTATGTACATTTCACAGCACAGATATTCACCCTCAAATCCACCAACTTTGTGTACTGGGGGAGGGAGACGATTTACTACCTGTGGGGGATATAAAGGGTAGCTGGCGAATTATGCAAACAAACTGTCTGATAACTAACCTGCAGGCAGCCTTCCTCTGACCTGCTCTTTTTAGTTTGTGCAAGGGCACCGTTTGTATTTCTCTGAAACAGGGGCTTGTAACGCACACCCCGTTGAGCTGGCATTGTTTATACAGGGACTCGGAGCAGGATGAATATTAATATGCATCCTTGAGCGGTGTGGAACTGTCATCATGGAGGATGTGCCATATGCTGAGGGTCAGATGGAGAGTAAAACTCCTCTGCAGGCAGATGGAGGTCACTAATGATGTCACGTTTAGGAGGAGGCTGAACATGAATTCTTAAACACAAAGGAGACTTTAGAGACTGAAAAGTCACATTAAAAGACCCACTTATGGGGATGTTTTTATTGCATCATCAATGTAGCGTAAAAGCATCATGAAGAAGACTTTTTGAGACTAAGGGGGATGGGTGTCATCATTCAGAAAAATCTAGAATATCAAAATAATCATATAAGGTTTGTTTATGGTTCTTAAAAAAGAGGCCACAAATTAATTTTCTGGTCTGTCTTTGTAGAGGACATCCTGGATGAGGTGTCAGGTTTGACTGTGGAGAGCCCGGATGAGAGTTTAGAGGAAGAACCCCAGCTGAGCCCCCGAGATCATCAGGAAGACAGATCCTTCGCAGCAGCCAGCCAGAAGGTAGGTGAAGACCTTTTACCGCACACATTTCATCAGATGTACCACCCTGAGCCATACGTAAGCCGACAAGCACATGCAATAGATTTCTAAGATTAAAAATTCATAACCTGTTCCGAGTGTTGTTTCAAGCATCAGTGCTTTTGCTCGACACCGACTTCATTCTCTTAACCTTAAAGCTTATTAAAGCTCCACATTTAATCAATAATCAGACAAATTAATGATGCATTTTGTGTACTTGATTAATAGAAACTCTTGCTCACCTTGAGATATTTTTTTCTAAGTCAGCACTTTTTTTTATTAATAAGCATGTATTTGAGCAGAAAATTATAGTTTCTAAAGCTGGATGATATTTAGTGACTCTTGGGAAGGTCAAATACAAAATATGCATATAAAGCAGTGGTTCCCAACCAGTTTTCCTCAAAGCCTCTTTTCTTACTTCCAACCCAAACTGAGGCCCCCTACCCCAACCAATCCTTTGCTACTCCCCCTCATCCAAAAAAAACTTTATCTCTTTATCAAAATCTCAAAAAGTTACATGGAAACACCTCTTGATGTGTTTGTTTTAACTTGTCGGTTTGAGAATATGAGCATGTGTGTTTAATATGAATTTCTATTTTTTTTGCACATCTTGTTCTTTTAGTTTAGAATCTTGTGTTTATCTTATCACTCCTTGTATATCTTTCTTTAGTTCAGTTCTCCTCAGTTTGGATTCTGGTTTGTGTTTTCCACTATTTGCTTTGGTGTCGTGTTGTTGTGTTGGTTCCTGTGTCACCTCTCATTCAGTACACCTGTGCCAGTCAGCTTGCCACACCCACTCCCACCTGTTCTCACCTGTTCTGGTTGGTCTCCCCGCCAGGTGTTTGGGATTATGTTCATTTAGTTCTCCTTTATATTCTGGGTTTTTCTCTTGGTTTTAGAGGGTCGTTACACTGGCTCATGTCATCGGTCTTGGTCTCGCTTTGTGTTGCTCTCCTTGTTTCCACCCGTGTTTGATGTAAGTTTTTCTGCCACGTCGGCCTTTTGCTAAATGATGTATTTAATTTTTTCGAACTCCTGCACTTTGGGTTCAACCTCTCAACCGACCGTTTATGTGTGTGTGTGTGTGTTTGTGCTGTGAAGCACAGAAATGGATACAGACAGGTGAGTGGACGAGCGAGTGAACAGCATTACTTTCTAATTAACATTACGTCTGGTTCAATCAGAGCTGGTGAGGTGATTACTGGAGGAGGCTGTGTGCCAGCCCGTCTCCCTTGGATGCGGTTGTCATTTCCATTACAACGGCAATGCATGACTGCCGGAAACAACCAGAATTTATTTATTTTTTTCCTACTTCCATTTGATAGTAAATCTGGAATAAAAGACAGAGAAGGGGACAGCTGGGACAGAAGTGTGTCAGTGAGTTTCAGTCATGATGGAGAGCGGTGATGAGGTCAGAGCCAGTTGCAGTCTAGGCTGTGTTCTGTTGGACAGCTGGGGTTCTGTGACTCCATTGTGCCAATATAGATCAAAGTCAATGTATGAAACTATAGGATAAATGCTGACTTTAAGGACAGGAGGCTGAGTTACGATTTTTTAATGCAACTGATATGAAAAAGTTAGTAAACTTTGCAAATAAATCTACAGCATCTACAGCTCAGCACAGCTCCTGATTAAAATTTAAATAATGTTGCTTTTTATGGGATCTGAATCCCTGCACACCCTTTATGATGCAGCGGTAGATGTTTTTACGTAGTGCTGATGCTCTGTTTATGTTCTTAAAAATTCTAGTCCAAGATTTCCCCACCTCTTACATCCTGCCAGAAAAGCATTTTTTGAAATTTATTCATGTGCTGTTTTGCATATGTAGACTATGTGTGCTGTTTTTAGTTATTTTCAGGGCTGCATTTAACGGTTATTTTGATAGTTGACTAAACTGTTGATTAATTTTCAATTAATCAATTATTTGATTAGTATTTCTGTTATGACCTCCTGTTCCAGCTCCAGAACGCATCTCATCTGCTCACACCGGAGAATGTCATCCAGTCTCTCCCCCAACATAATTAGTTTTCATTGCAAATAACAATAATGACCCATAACAATAATAATAATAATAATCGTAATCGATTATGTTAAGTAATACTTGCAGCACTAGTTATTTTCAGACCAAAGTTATTTAAAAAGTTGTAGTTAATAAGTAGATTTCAGGTTTCAAGTTTAGACTATCTTTAAACTCAGCTAGAGTTCTCTTAAATGAACTGTCATATTAACTGAGAAATCACAACAATGAGAGAAAAGGCAGATGGGCGAGCACACGAGGGGAAAGCTGATGACAGCTCAATGGCAGCTTATGGGTTTTTAATTAATGACAAAACATATTTGCTACTTGTTTAGGAACATTATCTCTCTCAAAGAGCCAGAAAAGCAGAGGCACTGCCTTTAATGTGTAACAAAGACAAATAATTCCTTGCAAACGAGCGCACCGGAGCAAGTATTGTAACCCTGTTAAAGCTCTGGCAGTCTGTGATCTTCATCTCACCTTTCAGTCTCTCACCTCCTGCTTCAGTCTCACATCTGCTGTCTGATTTCTGTCCTGATTTCCATCTGTTTTCACTTTTTTTTGTGCTCTCCCTTTTTATCATTTCTTTCCTCTGCAAGTATTTTCTCTCCCCTTCTGATAATTGAGAACAATAAGACCGTGCCCTGTCTCAGACATGACAGCTCCATTTGTGTTTTGTCTCCTCGGCTGTTGTCCTTTGTTTGAAATGTCCTTTCTGTCCTGCTGTTCTTCCACTTTTCTTCTGATCAGTTCTTTTTTTTTTTTACCCCCTTCTCCCCATTGACCTCCTGCTGTTCATTATCATACACAACACAAGGCTGCCGCTGGCTTTCGGACAGTTTGCTCTTTAGCTGTGAGCTCTGACCTCGACATGCGGATGCTTTTGTTAACAAAGACAATCCAATTTTTTTATTTATTAATTTTTATATAGATTTCTCCCCTAAAACAATATCTTTGTATTTATGTTTGTCATGTTTTCCCCTCCCTCATGTTGATTTACTCCTTTTGTTTCACTGTCTCTTTGGGAAAGCTCAGAAGTGCTGAGGATTGTGTCTTACCTCATTTCACCCAGCGCCTGCGGTCACACTGTGACAGACGACTGAAGGGAGGGGAAAAAAAAAGGCAAAGTGGGACAATTTTAATTATCCCAACACTCTAATTACTTCATTCTACAATGTTTCACATCATTTAGTGGAGATAAATGAGTGTCTGGTTAGCTGGAGGAAAGGGAAATGTTCATTATTTTAGACAAAGCACACAGCCACCTCCCCTACATGATAAACCAACCAGAGAATAAAGCAGCGATTGCTTAAGGATAACAACGATAATAGAGATGATTGGTGAGGTTCTCTAAGGTGTATCCAGCCCCACTGAAGTGTGCTGGTTATAATTTATAAATGCCTATCAGTTCGCCTTGGGGGCACATGAAATRGAAATGCATTATTCAGAGTTTAGGAGACTGTTTTCGTCAGGGTTTGTTCATTTTCCTGATGGCACAATTCCACCTCACACACAACGAAGGTCTTCAGAGTAGGCGGTTACTTTTTTAAACAATGGGCTGTGTAGCTTTGACTCCATCTTATCCTATCATTTTGATCACCATTCTTTTTCACGCTTCAACTGTTTTGTGTCAAATGTTACTGTACTTCCGCGATTTTCCACCAGAGGACGCACTAGCGCTGAAAATCGAAACCTGCAGGACCACAGAAGTGTTTATTCATGCTGCTAAAAAAATAGATTGCCATGAAAAATATATTTTTTGAATTATTTTTTTTGTCAGTCAGTTTCTATATTATTGATTTTAGTTTAGGAAATTCTACTCCAGATCTGTATGTAATGCACAAAATTCACAATTGAACTAAAGTGACTCTTTAGGATATCTCTTATATTATCTCTTATCGCTTCATCTCTTTGAGATAAAGTGACTCTTAATTTGAAGATTTGAAGGACCACATAGGTTAAAGTTATTACATCAAAAGAGCATAAAATCTCTCCCCACATTTTCAAAAAACACAAACTGTGTTTCAAACAAATCAGGATTCATTGTGGAATCATTTATAAATGAGATTTAACAAATATATGTGTTTTAAATTTTCAGCTAAAACTGATTTAATGTGCAATTCAGCAATTCTGATGGACTTTTAAACAAAAAGTGCAGCAACAGAGTTGTGTTTTGATTTGATGGTGTTTTGTTTTGCTTGATCTGTGCCTCCCAGCATTTTAGTTGGGCTGTAAAAAGCCTTCACTGGCTCATGTCGACTGCTTAGTCATTCACTTAAAAAACAAAATCCACATCAACTTGTGTTTTTGAAGCTCTATGTTGTCTCTTTTTCGATTTTTCCATAAGCTGACGGATTTCCTTGTGCAGCTCAAAACATCTAGCACTTTAACTCAAACTCGCCATCACTGAACTATGCATGTTCTGATAAGCTCTCTGTGTAAACAACTGTTTTATCTTTGCTGCTGCAGTAAAACCAGCTTCAGCACTTTAAGATTTTACTCAAGTGGGCCATGACACATGCCTTCTTTTCAGCTATTTTACTTTTCTAAGCGTCTCCTGTGTGCCTGGGCCCTTGATCCTGTCCCTGGTGTTTTATTTCGTGTTGTCCTCCTACGTTACATTCTTTAATTACAGCCACATCGGGTCCACAACCAAGCAAGTTTGGTTTTTACGTCAGTGCTCACATTAATCTGTGTCTGACTTGTTTTCAGAGTCAACTTTTTGTTTGACTTCGAGACAAAGTTAAAGATGCAAAGGGAGCCTGGCAAGCCACACTGACACACAAGTTGCTCCAGTGCATGCTGGGATATGTAGTTTCAGTGGTGTTTGTAACTCACACACCAGCTCTAATTGTGTCTAATATGTGTCAGATGAAAATGACCAGGTTAAATGTGGCCCCACTGGTTATGAGTTTAACCCGTGGTGTAATAGGAAGCTAAAAATCTGCCATGAAATCCCACTTGT